CCAAGCCGCAGGCCGAATCACGCCCTGGGACCCCGAGTCAGGCCCCCAGGCAGGGCTGTGGGAACAAAGGCTGGCGTGAGCTGTCGGTCTGGGGGCGCTGGGCGGGCTGGACTGTGTGTCGCCAGCGCAGACCCCCGAGTGGGCCGGGCAGGGGCTCCCCCTCCTCCTGGCTGGACAGGGCACGGGGGTGTGGCCGCGTCTTTGTCCCCAACCTGGGCTGGTGTGGGGGACCTCGGGCGGATAGGACACGCCCCCGCTCCCCGAAGTCCCTACTTAAAGGGGCCTTTGTGTACGGGGGGCAGGGACCCCACCGCGGGAGGACACTGGCACAGCCTTCGATCTTGGGGCCACCCGCCTTGTGCGCCATGAGTGCTGTAGGGAGCATTTCTCCTTTGTGCGTCCAGGGCTGGAGCTGTAGCAACGGAACCCTGGTCGCCTGGGCCTCAGGGCAACCTCCTGCTCCAGCGGTGGGGACACCGGCTGCATGCATGCCTGCCCACTCCCGGGCAAGGACACGGCATAGTAGGGAGACCCCAGATGTGACTGGGAAATTTGGCGCCCCACAGTAGAGGGGACTCTACTCACAGGAGCTCTGTGTGCAAGTAGGGGTGGAGGCTGTGGCCGAAGCCAGGGTGTAAAACGGCTGGCAGTTCCAGAGGAGCAGCCAGAACCCAAGGAGTGTCTGGGTCAGAGCTGGTAGAGACCCTCCATCTTTTTAGCCCCAGTGCCATTTCCTCCAGGAAGCCCTCCCAGCTTCCTGTGTGGGGCGGCTGCCTCATGGCTCCACCTGGCTTTGGACTTGGAGTAGTGCCGGCCCAAGGCCTGACTCACCCACACGGGGCATTCTGAGTTTTTGTCACCCTATGCCAGCCCTTGTGGGGCTGTGTGTCCAGTGGACCAGTGATGACACAGAGACAAAACTCCAGCACCCGGGCTCGGGTGTGCCCAAGGGAGCCAGGCACCGACCGCTAGACCCCATGGGGCCTCCTCAGAAAGGCCTGTCCTCACCCTCAATGCCTTGACTCTCCTGGAGTGTGGCGGTGCCCCCCTCATATCCCCAGCTGAGCCCCCCTCTGTCCCCGCCTCTGAGCTCTGTCTTCTGACCGCAGCTTCATGGCGGCTGAGGAGATGCACTGGCCGGTCCCCATGAAGGCCATTGGTGCCCAGAACCTGCTGACCATGCCCGGCGGTGTGGCCAAGGCTGGCTACCTGCACAAGAAGGGGGGCACCCAGCTGCAGCTGCTCAAATGTGAGTCCCAGGGTGTGGGGCCACTGGGGGCGGGGGTGGGACCCCACTGTGCTGTGGCCCCTGGGGCAAGAGCACACCAGACTCTGCTTCCTCCTTTGTGGCTGTCGGTTCCCCTTGCCACTCTGGAGAGAGGCACAGCAGGGCCTGAGGACTGCAGTGGGGCTCGGGAGGGCAGAGGTGAACTGTGGGGAGAATGCATCACGGTCCGTGAAGGGTGGGTCACACCGCACGGGGAGAGCAAGCCAGGGCCAGCGGGTGCGAGGACAGCAAAGGGCACAGGAGCGCCAGGGCCTTGTCCCCCTCGTGGTAGCCACGGTGCACCACTCGGGACTCCCTGGCCCAGGCTGCCTGGCATCTGTGCGGGCACCGGTGAGACGGGGCGCTGCTCCGCTGGCCTAGGTGGGAGCGCCTGGCAGCCTGCTAGCACCATGGCAGCCCTGGCTGGGCCCTTCCCAGGGGCCAGGCCTGCTTGGGGTACCCTGGGTGGCGGCGTGTCTGTGCTGTGGCCCTTCGGAGCCCTGCGCTGTCCTGACTCTGGGCCTCCATCTGCAGGGCCGCTGCGCTTCGTCATCATCCACAAGCGCTGCATCTACTACTTCAAGAGCAGCACATCTGCCTCCCCGCAGGGCGCCTTCTCCCTCAATGGCTACAACCGGTGAGTGCCCACCCTGCCCACGATGGTGCCCACTCTGTGCAGGCCCGAGGGTGTCGCAGCTCTCCCTGAGCCCCCTTGCCTGAGGTCCTCACCTCCTGTCCCCTGTGCAGAGGGTCTGCACTGCTGCCCTCTTGGGTCCTTGCCCACTGGCTGCCCAGGGACTCGTGCAACCCTCCTCCCTCGTGCATGGCTCCTTCCCCACCATGGCCTCTTTCTGGGGAGCTCAGTCCGGCCCAGGACCTGCCCGGACTCCCAGCTCCGGGTCCTCCCCGGCCCATAGGTCAGGGCCAGCTCCATCCAGCAAGCG